GACGATGATGATGATGATGATGATGATGCGCATAGCGATGATGCCTCTTCCGATTCCGATCGCACCTTCGGAGCACCACCTGCTCTCGATGCCGATAACTCTGAACCCAACTATCGTGTCGTGAAGGATGCCAATGGAGGCGAGCGTTACGAATATGCAGAGGTTGATCCTGTTTATGACAGCGATGACTCTGATGCTCAAGGCCCCGTCAACACAATCGGAGACATTCCTCTCTCTTTCTACGATTCCTACCCTCACATCGGCTACGACATCAATGGCAAGAAGATTATGCGTCCGGCCACTGGCGAGGCCCTCGATGCCCTTCTTGACAGCATTGAGATCCCCAAGGGCTGGACTGGCTTGACAGACCCTGAGACTGGAAAGCCCCTGGACCTTACCCAGGATCAACTCGAGCTTCTCAAGCGACTGCAGATGAACGAGGTCCCCAACGAGGATTACGACCCTTACCCTGTATGCTCATCTCTTGCTCTTGCTTCGTTTTTGGTCGTTGCTAACTTATGTAGGACATGGTCCCTTACTTCACAAGCATTGAGGAAAAAATGCCCCTCAGCGCCGCCCCAGAGCCGAAAAGACGATTCGTTCCCTCAAAGCACGAGGCAAAGCGAGTCGCCAAGCTTGTCCGTGCTATTAAGGAGGGTCGTATCCTGCCCTACAAGCCTCCGGAGGAACGCCAACGAGAGGAGGAGGAGAAGGAGGAGTCTTACTATGACGTGTGGGCGAACGAGGAGCCACAGGATCCTCATGTCATGAACATCCCAGCCCCCAAACTTGCTCCTCCTGGATACGATCTCAGTTACAACCCTCCACCTGAATATCTCCCCACCGAAGAAGAGAAGGAAGCCTGGAAGAACCAAGACCCCGAAGAGAGAGAAAAGGAGTACCTGCCCGCCAAGTTTGACTCGCTCCGGAAGGTTCCCGGTTACGGCGAGTTTGTCAAGGAACGCTTCGACCGCTGTTTGGACCTTTATCTTGCACCCCGAATTAGGAAGAACAGGCTCAACATCGACCCCAACTCTCTGCTGCCGAAGCTCCCACGACCGGAAGATCTCAAGCCTTTCCCCACCCTTAACCAGACCATCTTCCGTGGCCACGACGGACGGGTTCGTTCTGTTTCTTTCAGTCCTGATGGAGAGTTTGTGGCCTCTGGTGGTGATGATGGTACAGTCCGGGTGTGGACTTTGAACGGTCATCAGGAATGGATGGCCAAGCTCAGTAGCGAGGAGCCTGTTAGCATGGTTCGATGGCGACCCAACAAGGAGACTCTCGTTCTGGCAGCTGCCGCTGGAGAGGATCTGTTCTTCATGATCCCATCAGTTGCTAGTGATGCCGTGGAGAAGGCGAGTCGCGAGGTTCTCGATGCTGGATTTGGCTATGCCACCAATGGCGCGCAATCTAGCACAGCCAACGGCGTTAAGAAAGAGCCCCCTGCCAAGTGGTCACGACCTGGTGCTAAGCTGGAGGCCGCAGGAGTTCTCCTCATGGCCACCGTCAGGTCGGCAATCAAGGTCATTAACTGGCACAGAAGAGGTGAATATATCCTCACGGTCTCTCCAACCGGACAACGAAGCTCAGTCGCCATGCACACTCTTTCCAAGCACCTTACTCAGATACCCTTCCGAAAGCTCCCTGGTCTCGCCCAAACAGCTCAATTCCATCCTTCAAGGCCACTGCTATTCGTTGCTACTCAGCGCATGATCAGATGCTACGATCTTCAGCGCGAAGAGCTTGTCAAGGTCATCCAGCCTGGTGCCCGCTGGATTTCCTCCTTTGACGTGCATCCTGGTGGTGATAACCTTATTGTTGGTTCATATGACCGAAGACTCCTGTGGCATGATCTTGATTTATCAGCTCGCCCTTACAAGACGATGCGATTTCACCCTGAGGCCATTCGAGCTGTCAAGTTTCATCGCAGCCTTCCTCTCTTCGCTGATGCCAGCGATGACGGCACCCTTCAGATCTTCCATGGTAAGGTTGTGAGCGACCTCATGGAAAACGCTACAATTGTGCCCGTCAAGATGCTCAGAGGCCACAAGGTCGTCAGCAAGCTTGGTGTTCTGGATGTAGACTGGCACCCCAAGCACCCGTGGTGTCTCAGTGCTGGTGCAGATGGAACATGCAGACTGTGGGCATGATCACATATCTGAACAATAATTCATCATTAGAACTGGTGAACTTTGGTCGCGGTAGGCTTTCTTCCAGCGATGGCGTTAGGATACAAAAGAATATCTCTTAGTCACAGTTAATTAGCACATACACAGAATCCGAATGCATTGTCTCTGTAGAAGCAACTCTGATCCTTAAACCCATCCCACTGCTTGACATATTCAATCGACGTGATCATTAAATATCATTAGTTGTCTGCTTTTGTTACAGGGCTTAGTACAAGTTGAAAGAAACATTCTCGCTATCGAATACCATGAATCCTGGTGAGATATCCCGAAGACAATGGTCTCAACATTTCTATACTGTAGCGTATGTTTTCACTTCTGGACTATTATGTATCAAAAGCGACCGTAGCTGGGGTTTAGATCACCACTTTAACAAGATTCGGAGCGTGTATTGTAAATGAATATAAGCCTGGTCCAAGATGCTTATAAACAGAAATTAAGAGCTACGTTGATTCCATCCACTTGTTATGCATACACATCTTCACAAAGCTACAATTTGAGGGAACTCGACGCGCACCATAGTTGAATAAACAGAATATTAGGAAATTAGTAAAGTGGGATTCGTAATACATAACTACCTGCTACAAACAAACAACCCGAAGTATCAGGAATTGCACTATTGTTGTGAGTGGCCAACCTATTGCCACTCACGGCCACGTCTTCCCATCATATCGCCGGGTGACCAACCATGTGAATATCACCTTTTCAAAACTGCATATGCCCGGCCGTCGTCGTAATGACTTCATTTCCTTTACGCATAAGCTTTATTTAAAGTTCCTCACGGATCTTGGCATGAGCCTGAGCCTCAGCCTCAGCAGCCTTCTGCTTAGCGGCTTGACCACCAAGCTGAAGCTGGCTTGCAACCCAGTTGTAGGTATCACGAGCAGTATCTCCGAGCTTAGCGAAGAAGGTTCCGGATGGCGAGCTGGTACCATACTTAAAGTAGGTGGATTGCTTTCGGGCCTCGGCCTTGAGGTCCTCGAGCTTCGATCCCTGTGGGACAGGAACACCGTAGCTGTCGAGGTAAGCCTTAAGGTCGGTCTCAGACCACTCATCAAAGGCGGACTGCTTAGCAGAGTTGGTGGCGGATGTAAGATAGCTAGTGGCAGAGGCCCAGGTTGATCCGCCAGCCGATGAAGCAGAAGAGTAGGCGGACTGAGCAGCGTCGTAAAGCTCATCACGGGTAGCGTCCTTCTTCTCAGCAGCTTGCTTGGCAGCAGCATTTCCGCTGCGCTCCAGGTACTTCTTCAAGTTATCGTAGCTGAAGTCGTCAAAGGTCCAGGCATTTCCGCCGTGGGCAGCAACGTGAGCGTTCTTGCGAACCAAAGCCTCAAGCTCGTTCTTCTTGGAGCCCTGGGGAACGGGAACACCGCGAGCGTCAAGGTAGGACTTAAGACGGGTGTCGGACCAAGTGCCTACAGCCTGGTTGAACGCATCCTGCGCAGCAAGTGATGCACTGTCGGTGGCCTTGGCGTACTGGTTCTGAGCGTTGGAAGTAGCAGCACCGTAAGCAGAGGCGGCGCTTCCAGAAATGTTGTCGCCGAGAATGTCAGCTCTGTTCTTGCGAACAAGAGCGCGGAGTTCGTTGGCCTTGGTACCCTGGGGAACAGCGATACCGTTCTTATCACAAAACTCCTTGAGCTGCGACTCGCTCCAGGCATCAATGATCATGTCGGTTAGGGTAGCGTAGGCACCTTGAGCACTGGCGGTAGCACTGGCGGCTTGGTCCTGGGCCTTAAGGTAGGCAAGGCGGGAGTTACGACGAACAGAGGCAATGAGCTTGTCACGAGTCATAGGCTGAGGGGCAGGGAAGCCGTGGGTGTCAAGCCACTCCTTGAGATCCGATTCAGACCATGTCTCGTAGAGCCAGTTTCCAGGGTAAGAAGAAGCCTGGTTAGCCTTCTTGGCAACAGTCTCGTAGTTAGAGCGAGCCTTCTGGAGAAGAGTGTCACGCTGGCGGGGCTGAGGGGCTGAATATCACAGTTAGCGATGTGCGACCAAAATGGGCGGACAATATCGTTTGGAGCACACTTACCGGGAATTCCGTGCTTGTCGGCGAATGCCTTAAGCTGACTCTCAGTCCAAGTATCAAGAATCCAATCCTTGACATTGAGCCACGCAGAATGGGCATTGCTCTCAGTCTCGTACCAGTTGGCCTTCACCTGGGACAGTAGGCTGTCCTTGGAAGCGGCAGCTTCATTCTTGGTTTCCTTGCCCTTAGACTGCAAGTAAGCACTCAGCTGGTTGGTATCCCAGCTGTTGTAAGGGGAAACGACGTAGGCATCCCAGTTCTTCTCAATCAAGGACTCGAGATCCTTACGATCGGCCGGGGAGGGGTATGGAACATCATGATCAGAGAGCCATCGTTCCAACTCGGTCTCATGCCACTTGTTGTAAACTGTCTTGATGTTAGTTCAAAGGTTCGCCAAGAAGAGCGAAATCGTAGCTTACCTGGCTTTGATCCAGGAAACCAGGTGCTGGCAGCAACACCGTTGATGGCCACTGCGGCCAGGACGGCGTTCACAAATCTCATTTCGGATTCGGTAAGGTGTTGCCTTGAAGAATGAGTCCAGGAGGTGATCAGGAAGATTAGGTAGGTAGGAAGGGTATCACGATATCAATCAATCACCTCAGCCGATGTTGACTGGTTTGAGTATGAAGGAGGAATGAAAGCAGTTGTGAAATGAAGTAAAGCTCAAGCGCGGTGAAGGTGGGAAAAGGCAGCTCAGAGGGCAAGCCACCAAAAGGGAAATCTATCACGTCACCGTGCGCTCGTCGTGGGTGGCTGGAATCTGGCAGTTCCAATTGCACTGAAGCAGACAGGTTACAGGCACGGAAAAGTACAGGATACTTACGCAAGAGCTCAACAAAGCTTGTGATTTGAGAGACAAGTAATAGGCAGGCACACCAAAGAGTTCCACAACAATATGTAGCGCAATACTTGATGGGCCGTTAACGAAGGGGCATCAGCGTCACCATCAGCATCATCATCATCACTTATCCTTCATCATTTCGATGAGATTTACGCAAACAAGCCTTGGATGAGTGCCCTCCCCAGGCGCCACCATGACGTATTTACCATGACTGGCCCCGCACAAGCTCCAGGCTCGAACGGGCATGATGCGGGATGACTAAGATTGACCTGCCAATCGGCACGTTCCGCTGCCAGATGTCGCTTTTAGCTGGTGTTAAATTGCCCATTCAACAGAAGCACATGCTTGGTTTCAGCAGTGATTCTTACAACAGAGCTGGAGGACGATCTCGATTCACCGGTGGAACAAAAGCTCCGGCAGGGATGATTGATGCTAGGTAGCTATGACCTGCCGGTTGCACGACATTACATACAACATACAACTTGATGATTGTTCGGCCACGTCGAGGTTAAAACACAGCTATTAGAATACCCAAAATATTCTCCGGCCAGAAAGAAGTTCTTGATATCTTATCCTCAGAATTCCAGAAAAAGTGGCCCCTAAAAGCATAAGACACGAAACATGTTGGTCATCTTGTGCTAGCTTAGAGGATCTTCGACTGCTTTATTTCAGAAGCCTAAGCCTTAAGAGGACATTTCTTCTGTTGTCCACTTGCTTGTGCATAACCTTCAACTTATACAAACAGAACACGTCAAAGATAGACCCCAATTGCTTTTTTTTGAAGCGTAAATGTTTTGCCTCCAAAAAGCGGAGGCGGGCATACGCCGAGATAATGCTACATTGATCTATGAATGCCCTCATCACGTCTAAACCCCAGCGCCCAGGCTCGTGTAACCTGTAACCCGTCCCGCGATATCTACCGTGATCACAATTAAGCGTAGAAGTTGACCGTCTGTTTGAATCTGTTAGTAGGGCTCTTCGGCGATAGATATCGAGATATCGTATACTTACGTCCTTCTTCTTGGCCTGCACCTCAGCAATAGCATCAACATAGTGCTCGTGGCCAATCTTGTTCTTGCCTGATCGCAAAGCAATCATACCAGCCTCTACACACACAGCCTTCAACATTGCACCTCCAAACTCGTCCGTGCTTCGAGCCAGTTCACCCCAGTTCACCCCGGGGTCAACTCTCATTTTGCGTGAATGGATCTTCATGATCTGGGCACGAGCCTCCTCATTGGGAAGAGGAAATTCAATCTTGCGATCGAGTCGACCAGAACGGAGCAAGGCTGGGTCGAGAACATCCACACGGTTTGTCGCAGCCAGCACCTTGATTCGATCGTCGGAAGCGAATCCATCGAGCTGGTTCAATAGTTCCAGCATGGTTCGTTGCACCTCACGATCACCGCTCTTCTCGCTGTCGAAACGTTTGGTACCAACGGCATCTAACTCGTCGATGAAGATGATAGCGGGTGCCTTCTCTTTAGCCAGCGCAAAGCAATCTCGGACAAGCTTGGCACCGTCACCAATAAACATCTGGACTAGTTGAGGGCCTGCCAGCTTCAAGAAAGTAGCATCAGTCTGGGCAGCACATGCTCGTGCTAGGAGTGTCTTGCCAGTACCAGGTGGGCCATACATGAGTGCACCTGAATTGAGTTAGCCGCATGTCCCCTTCTCTGCATCGCACCGATAAACTCTACCTTTGGGGGCTTTGATGCCAATCTTCTTGAACCTCTCGGCCTCCTTCATTGGCCATACGATAGCTTCCACCAACTCTTCGATCTGTTTGTCCAATCCACCAACATCAGTGTATTGTTCTGTAGGCTTCTCATCAACTTCCATGGCCTTGACACGGCTGTCATATTCAGCTGGAAGGGTATCGAGAATAAGATATGAGTCCTTGTTGACTCCAATGAGGTCACCGGGCTTTAGCTTGTCGGCGTCCACGAGACCGATCAAAGGGAGGAAGATCGTTTGACGTGTAGATGTCTTGATAACGGCTGACTTTCCAACTCGAGTCGCATCCAGGTCAATGTTCGCACCCTCTTCGGAGGATTCGGCAGTTGGGTCGAGGTCGAGCAGTTCGACAACATTTCCGACGAGGTATGGGAGTTGTCTACCAGCTGCCATTAGCGATGACGCCGACAATTGATCATCTTCAGAAAACTTACCGGTTGTTGGCAATCTTATCCAGGTTTTCTTTGATTTTCTCGCCCATGGCAGCCTTCTCATGTGATAACCGGGAGAGCTCGCTCTTCATAATCCGAGAGTCGTTCTCAAGAAGACGCTTGCGAGTTTGGATGTCTTGTGTGCTGAGTCCAAGGATCTCTTCGTCAAGAATATCATCGTCCTCTTCCTCGGCGTCTTTCATGTCGGCATCGCCATCAGTGGGCTTCTTCTGGTTCTTGTCGTCGCCATTTCTCTTCTTATCCTCCTTGTCTCGGCGGTCGAGATCATCGAGCTCCTCGAGAGTCGACATGATGGAAAATGACGTGGATCAATTTATCGACAAATGGAGAGCAGAGTAGCAGGTCGAGTCGAGAGCGCAAATATTATGCTGTGCTTGTTATATCGTACGGTGAGTTTGCAAATTGGAGAGGAAAGCTATCGATGCTTGAACAACATCAAAAGACGAAGCCGTGGTAGGTAGGCAGTCAGGTCGCGCGTAATCAGCCTAGTCCACCAGTAGCAACCTAACAGATCGGTATTGGCTTCAGTGGCCTTGTACCCTGTAGTCCCCGGGATCGGGTGTGAGTTGATCCGATGCACGGACCAGGGTTGTGAGTGGACGATTGTTTGATATCAATCAGGCTAGCTACGAGCGCTGGTGGAATTTTTGATACGGCGGCAGAGCCAGCAACAGAACTTCATGTACGCACAGCATTGGGACCTCATTCTGGCTGATTGTTGCTAACCGTCCCATGATATAGCTACAGATCATGGCTTCCAGGATATCACGGGCTGTATCGCCCTGTCTGCGTCAATTGCGCAGAGAATCTCGGCTTCCCCACACATCATGGATCACGGCGGCTCGTAGCATTTCGACATCGCCCAGTTGCTCTGCTGCCGTGAGCGATATCCGAAAACCGATCGACCAAGCCCCTGCGACCAAACCCCCAAGCGCTCGTCCTGTTGAAACAAGAAAGAGCCAGCTGATCCGAACCTATACCTCGTTACTTCGAACGACTCCTCTGATCTTGTTCTTTCAGCACAGTAACTTGACGGCTGTGGAATGGGCGGCTGTGCGGCGAGAGTTAAAGAAGGCTCTTTCTGCGGTTCCTCAGCCCAACGCAGTCCCCGGAAGCGAACCTGTCGATATTACTCCGTTAGTCCAATTACAGGTGGTACGAACCAACATGCTGCGCGTAGCCCTTAAACTCGTTGAATTTTACGACCCTGAGGCTGCCGCTGCCTCTGATAAGACGACGCGAACAGCACGAGGCCCTCTCGTCCACGATTTGTCTGAAGCCGCCTACGATGCTATCAAGAATGCCGAAGTCCCTGAAGATTCAAACTACGCCCAAATCGAGCCAGTGATGGTTGGTCCTTTGGCGGCTCTAGTTCTTCCCGCTGTATCTCCAGCACATGTTGCTGCGGCCTTGAGCGTCCTAGCCCCTGTCCCCGGCAAATTCCCTGCTCCCTCAAGGAAAAAGAACCCTGGATATCACGATGCTACCTGCCAAAGCGGCCTTGCGAAACTGCTCCTTGTTGGTGGCCGTGTCGAAGGCAAGATCTTCGATCAGTCTGGCATCAACTGGGTTGGCGGCATCGAGGGTGGCTTGGACGGACTGCGCGCCCAATTGGTCGCTCTGCTCCAAGGCGCGGGCTTGGGCATCACCAGCACACTGGAAGGTGGAAGCCGAAGCTTGTGGCTAGCTCTGGAGGGTCGAAAAGGTCAGCTGGAAGACGAGGCCAAAGGCGACCAAAAGAATGGAGAATAAGACCAGGGTTGGGAATCGACAATGATGATGTACAAACAAGGGGCCTAGCAAAGGCTGTGTATGTGTAGATGTACCAACAGCATATTGGATCGTTTAAAAATTCGACACGGTTAAATAAGAAAACCAGCCATCAGAAAGTAGATGGTGTGTTCTATTTCATGTCTCTTATGATAGATCTTATTTTCCACATGATGCCATAGGGAATAGTGTACATTTAGGATTTCGCGGTTTTACGTCGATCCAATATAGGCTCAATCATGGAAAGGACGATGAATTGATATTCCCTATAAACTTGGGGTGATGCAACTAATTACAATGTGGACTTGCATCTTACCTCATTGTTATCTAAATATATTGTAAAAAGATGTGTTTAATCATGGATAAACTACTAATACACTCGAGGTAATCTCGAATTGTCACTTCAATGTAACAAGTGTGGCTGAGCTATGTGGCTGGAACCTATTAAAGACGCAGGCACTAAGGCAGTAGTGTACCTGCCTTTAACTACCCTGACGTCGAGGTCTACAGTGGAGGATTTGTGATGGAAGCTCAAGCAACGACCCTTGACCTCCTACCACCACCCCGCCTCAAACTAGCTCCATCAACAGCTTCTTGCATCACAGCTGCATACAGAAACTCACATCGTACTTTTCAAGAGAAGATCGAGTCCTAAGCCCAGCTGTCATAGTGGAAAGGAAGTGCGAGTGCTCAAATACATCGTGCACCTTTCACCGACCCAGCACCGTTTGTTCAGTAGCGCATACAGAGCTCGTTACCCGGCTGGCGCAATATTTACCCAAACTTGCTGAACAATCGCAACTCTCTCGAGACTGCTACTTCAGGCCATGGACTTCGCTCCTTATCAATCCTCTCCGCCGGAGCATTCACGTGTTACCTCGCCCGACTATGCCTCCCCACGACCTTCGTACGATGCTCGTCGATCTTTCTCTCCCGTTGCTTCTCCTCCCCCGCTCCAACATCCGCAACCGCAGCGAGGATGGGGCGGTTTCGATGGCCAGTCGGCTGGCTGGGCGGCGATTAGTCCCGACAGTCGGGCTTTTGGAGCGTCAAGTACAATGCCTGGTGCTTTTCCTGTGGCAGAAGTTAGCGAGTTTGATACAAGTCTAGGGATGCGCTTAGATTATGAGGCATGTCTGGCATACGTCGCTTTCCCGCCTATAGGAGCCATTATACTTCTCATCCTGGAGCGAAATAGTGACTACGTGAGGTAGGACTGACTCCCTCTAGCTTCCTCTGAAGCCCATCACACAACATATTTCCAGCATTCAAGTTTGTCTAACACGTACATCAGGTTTCATGCTTGGCAATCGGCATTGCTATTTACGGCGATCATGGTCTTTCACCTCCTCTTCTCATGGTCAACGTTTTTTAGCTGGCTGTTCTTCTTATGTGATGTTGCTCTAATTGCTGTGCTCACACTGCGCGCTTATAAGGACGCCGAAATTCTTGACAGGTATGGACTGGTTAACCTCTGTCTTATTTAGATTTGGTTGTTAATATCTCTCTAGGTTCGAGGTACCCTTTTTCGGTGCTTTAGCCAGTCGCTTTCTCGACGATGAATGAACAACTACTCTGGACATCGTGGCCTACATGGCACTGTTTTGCTTTTAAACATTGACTCTCGTCGTTCTTATAATACCCCTTACCAGCTTCCGGGCATACATTTTACTTGTCCATATTGGGGCCATCTTTGTGGCTCACCACACCACACTGTATGTGCTTATATTGAAACAGCAAGTTTAGTTCACCTAGCGTTCTTATCCCGACGTAAGAGCCTTCATATCGGGTTGCTAGTGCGCAGAAATGAATCATATTGCGTTCTGTTTTCTACAACATGATGTTTTGGTTTTTGAGGGATGCCCCATAGCCTCAGACGTCTTATGTTTGAGAGTGCAAGTACTGATACCCTAAGGATACTACCGCGAGCCTGAACTACCGTTCCACAGCCTCCCTTCTTAAAATCTGCTCAGGACGGGCATTACTGTCCCCTTCACAGTTGGCTTCCCCGCAAATACAACCTCACCAATCTTGGTCTCAGGGGAGCTACCCACCTCCAACCATCTGGCTAGAAGATCATTGCTCTCTTTAGGCTTCACTGAATCATCTCGAGTTCCTACTGTAATATGCGCGACACGGTTCACACACTGCCACTGATCGTCCTCATCCGCAAGGCGAACAACGATAGCCATGATTCGGTCGTCGAATACAACCTGTAAAACGTCAGCTGTGTCACACAATACGGGTCAAGGTCGCCCAATATCTTACTCTTTCAAGAATTACATCACATTCGCCAACCTTTCCTTCGGGGTTACCGGCAGCCTCTAATTCTTTATGAAGGGTTGTGTACTTTTCCCAAAGCTCGGGGTGAGCACTGCTGACAGCCTTGTGAAGCAGGGTGACGTGGAATTTTGGCTGCACACGTCTAGTCTGCTTGAGCTGTGTATGCAGCCGAGAGATTTCCTTGGGGGTACTCTTGAAGGCTTGTTCAAGGGCATTGTTCACCTCGCGGGCAGGAACACTAACAGACATGTACTCCAGCTTCCTTGGCTTTTGCGCCTTGGGCTGTGGCTTTTGCTGTTGGTTGTTCTTCTTACCCCGGTCAGGGATATCATGTCGAAATTCTGGCTTGTATCCGAGAGCAAAATCAATGGCAGCATCGAATGCCTCCGAAGATGGAACCTCCTTGACAAGATTGGGGAAAACCTTGTGCAATTGTGTTACAACAACCTCGAGGTTCTGTCGGCTGCCAGCTGTCGGGTCAAGGTCAATGAACGCATCGAAGCCATCGTCAGGTCGGCCGTGGGGATTGCAAGCTTCGAATCGGTTAATAAAACCTTCCATTACACCAATAAACTTTTCCTTATCGCTTGCTGCGTGGATTGTCTGGTGGTTGTCTCCGCGCTCAATGATTCTTTGCTGAGTGATTCGTCGAATCTCGTCGATCGTTTCTTCATCATGCTTAAAGTTCAAACACACAAGCTTGGCTGTAGAGTGCTGGAGTTTCACATCTGTGATGATTTGCTTTCGCTCATGTCTCTGTGCATTATTTCGGTCCGCAATGACGGCAGGGTGGTCCTTCAGCTCGTCCAACACCATCTTGGTGAACCGTGGAGGGCGGCCCTTGCCAGAGATGTTATCGTTCTGAACATGTCCCCAGCCAAAAAGATGCGAGAGTCCCATGGCGATTGTTGTCTTGCCGCAGCCAATGGTAGCAATAGGACACAGAATTACGTCTTGTTCCACCTCTGTCATGGCTGGGGTGTCGAGCTCTCCAAGATTAGCTGCATCTGCTCCCTTTAGATTCTTGAAATGCAAGAAATCGTCACGGAGGGCAATGATTCCATGGTTGTTGTTGTACTCCTTCCCAAGCTTGGGGTCTGCGGCAAGTCGTTTCCGAGCATAAAGAAGATACTCTTCCGTGATCTTGGTGTGTTTCTTGAATTTAGGCTGCTTACCAGCAATGAGAGCCTTGGTGCATTCCCGCCACTGGCGATACATCAGATATGGTTCCTCAAACTTGTACTTGAAGAACCAGTCCTGGAACGGCTGAGTGGCTGGATCATGCGACATCTTGCAACGAATGACAAAACCCTCGACATCGCGGCCATCGTGAGCCCCAGTCTCAGCTACTTCCTCGAGGAAACTCTTGACCTGTTCGATATCGTCCATAACAATCAGACCAGTTTTTCGGAAGGCCCATTCATCAGCAAACTCCTGAACAAATCGACTTGGGTATGTGGCAAACTCTGGAAGGTTGAGGTTGATGCCGTGGAGATATAGTCCTGCCTTGTCAGGTCCGTATGCTAAAATGTGCTCCTCGAATTGATCATCACAGAGCTCGGCAACGGCCGTAACATTTCTCTTGCGAAGTTCTCGCGCCAGGTCTGCTTTTGTCTTCCCAACAGCAGCCAGCTGCTGTTCAAGGCGTTGCTCTCCGGCACTTGCATGACTGACCTGGATGTCGTCTCGGTCACCTGTCGAATGCTTACTGCAAACAACCAAAGTGTCGTCTTCGAGTCCAGCAATAAAAATGATGCAACCATTCTCTTTGAGTGTGAGCTCGTAAGGGCCTTGTGTCCGCGTGAAAATGTTCTTCCATTTGGTCTCGGGGACCTCATCAACGTTGAAAAACTTGTCATAGCCTCTCACGGCAATCTCTGGCTCGTTCCTCCGTGTTTTTGTCGTGAAGAGGCCACGGGCGTAAGTTGGCAGGTTAGGTCGTTTGTAGTCCCAATCCTGCATGCGCCATGAGTCGACCTGGATACCATCCGCTGATCCCTTTACATCGAAAGTGGTCTTTTTGACTGAGAACCCGTTCTTTCTCTTGTCCTTTCGAGCATTATCCAAAGCACGTACGACAGCTGATACGGCTTGAATATCCTGGGGTGTGTATGGAGCAGACATCTTGTCTGATCTTGTGCGGGTAGTTTGGAACGAACGCTGGTTCGTAGCTATTCTTCGGAGGGGTGTGAGAAAAGAGTGAACAGAACGGCGATAAGAGTGCATGAGGTTAAGGACGGTGTTACCTCATACAAGAGTGAAGGAGCTCCTCAGTTCTACTCCGAATTTGTGTTTTTGAATCTGCACCTTCTGTTGCTGTTTGGAGAATACCATCAATGCTGAGTGATTAGGGAGGAGCGAACTCAAGAACTCACCTTTCCCTTGACAGAAGGTCGAATGAACAAACACAAAGGTATCTTTCAGGTACGGCGTAGGTTTTCCGAATATGTGCACCGCAGCGTCCGAAGGGTATACGAATGGATAGGGGAATTGCGGCCAAATTCTGAAGATCACACTCCCAGCTTTTATACAGACTCAGCTGGCAATGAGGCTGTGGCGATTGGTGCGGGCCAGGAACGAGGAGGAAACTGCCTTGGTGCACCGCCTCAGTAATGGCTTCAGGTCTTCAAAATGAGTCAGACCGCAAATAAATAAGGGGTGGTCACAAGAAGAGTTATGTTTGTTCTTGTTATTGGGTATGCTCATAAAGTCGTACCTGCCTGTAATCAGCGAGAGTTTCCTGAGTCACTGTCCACTATCAGGCAGGAACATTGTGGAGGGCAAGCTGCCGCCTTACCCTGCAGAGTTTATAAGTGGCTAGTATCCATGCGTCACGCCGACTACAGATTCATGTCATCGGGCTCACTACCTACCAGCAGCACAGGCAGCAATTGGCCATTAATATGCTTTTGGTAATACTAATACGGGTACTAAGGGCTTCAGCAGCGGTGTGACTTATATTAAGAAATTAATATGTCGGGTGCTTACAGGTAGTGTAAACCAGTCCTTGGAGGTTCATCAGGCACCATGATGGTGGGCGCAAATCCAGGGTTCCACATGCAGCTACCCCGCCAAAAATCTTCTGTCGTAGCAGCGACGCATAATCTTTATTTAATCAATTTCAACAATTGCAATAGCAAACCAAGGAAACTTGAATATAAATACATCAAATTCGCGTATTAGTACCAAAAACTACCCGGATACCAAGCTATTACAACTTCTATCATGACAACCCCCAACCCATTCCTCCTCGCAGCCGACAACAACCCCACGTTGCTGCCCCTCCTCAGGGAGAAACCAGCACTGGCGTCATCGCAAGATGAACACGGCTATTCTCTCGTCCATGCCGCTGCCAGCTACAACCATCTCGATCTTCTACGGTCCCTTATTCGAGAATTCAACGTGGATGTGGACTTGAAAGACGAAGACAACGAGACGGCCTTGTTTGTTGTCGAAACCAAGGACGCTGCTCAAGTTCTGGTCGAAGAGCTGGGCGCAAACATTAGTCACCGAGGACTAGAAGGTTTCACAGCTAGAGAAAAGATCGAAGCAGAAGGGGATTTCCCTGCGGTTGCAGAGTATCTATTAACGGTTGAAGTAAAGCAGGCCGATGACCCTGCTGCGACTGCAGCAGCTGTTATGCCTGAAGTTATTCCCCCACCTCCGGAGGGTATGAAAGTCACAGTCGGTACCATGGACGAGGCCACAGATATTCCTGGGGAGATCGATCCGGAGTTCCGAAGAAGAATTGAGGAATTGGCCCAACGCGAAGATTTCGACACGCCCCAGGGCCAGGCTGAGCTACGGAAATTGATTGAAGACGCTGTTCTGGGCGAGGGTGGCGTCGGCGAAGAGCGCAACGTACGATCGAAGCAAGACTAGAAGACACCTAAGTCGATGCCTTAATCTCCCACATGAGATATTTGCCGGCTGCATTAGGAGGTCTGAGGATAGTGAGTTCATCACTTGTTCCTGGTACACTCTTTGAGAAACATGTGGCGCCAAGAGAAAACCATGTTCCTGAAGGGTAAACTGCCAACACATTCATGAGTAGGCCATGGAGCCATTGCGTCGACATGAAGCCCTCCCAACTTATTTTGCGGATCCTGGTTTCCTGGGTCTTATCACCGGGCACGCAATACCGTGACAGATAGGGATCGATACTATCCCGAGGCTTTACACGTGGACTGGCCAGACGAATGAGCGAGAGCCATTCGTAACTCTCTGTAGCAAAGTACTCGAGGGCTTCACGATCGTTCTCAGCAAGAATTTCTGGGTCAACATCAAGATTCGGTTGCAGAACGGCAAGATCTTGGGACGCGATGGGTGTTGAGGTGAAGGCTGTGGGAAAGAACTGTTGTATGGGTTCTGGACTAGGGGCTTGTGAGAGTTAGCACAAAACTGCAACATGATTCCCTAGTGAAGATCCGGCCAGTGGTACCTACTTTGGGTTGTGTTGTCGCAAAATAGCCATGTCATAGGTCGATTGAAGACGGTCTTACAGGCATAGATCAATCTATCAAACCCCTTCTTTCCCCGCAACATAGATGGATCCCTGAGGTTGTACGTTATAACTTGATCGTCATGTCAGCGAATATTTGAGAGACTTGCCGTTGGTACTCACTCCATCGAGGTTTGGTTCCTCTTCCACCCTTTGGGCCATATGGCTTTCCAGGAAGGCCTGCACGCTCATACGTTTCTTTATCCACAAACATTGTAAGAACACCTGGAACAGTGTCAGTTTTTGACTAGACTTGAAGTGCGGTAGCTTTTTATACCTTCCCGCAAAGTGAACAAAGTGCCAACAGTCGTTTGTCCTTCTGAGAGCATGAGAATATCACCTAACCAGGCACGGATAATGTCAGCAAACATCAATAGTGTAAAAATTTGAACTGACCCCTCTTGATGTACTCTGTAAAGAAGTCTCCTTGCAAGACATCTCCCAAAGACATTACCACTCTTGAATAGCGTGGAGACTTGCTGGCTTTGGCAAGTTGCTCACTAACTGCATCATGTACTTCTGCAGGCAGTATTAGGTCGACCTGAATTCGGTTAATATAGATCCAATATCAATTATACCTGAAAAGTACTGACCTTGTGAACAAAATCTAACGACGTAATTGCAGCCCAAGGCTTGCCTTTACGAGGAGCTTGGTTAGTATCAACATGGCCCATAGTACCGTATGTCACAAAACATTTCGGCGATTGATAGATCGACGACGCAGCAGCGGGAAACATGTCGAAAAGGTAGAGAGTTAAGGCAAAAGATGATGCCTTGACGATAAAATGCTGGTGAGTCGAGCTGCTGGATGGTGTAAGTCACGAATGGAGGGTAACACAAAACCAATGGTTTGGATTTTAGCCGGGTCTTTTTCGGTGAATCTTTTACGCAACTTCACAACAGGACTAAAGAGAAACTTTTGCACTTTACTATTTCTTAAATAACATTTTGTTAGAGGTCCTGAGACATTTTGTTATTAATATTGGAAAATCTGTTCCAAAACTTTCATATCTGGGTGGTAGCTCTGCTATAGAAAGCGATTTCTTGACGAGGCAGTATCAGCCTCAGTGTGCCCTTTTCTCCCCCACTCAACTTTACCACAAAGTTGGTGAACTCGACCTTTGTCAAACCACGAGATCTGAAACCCATTCCAACATGGAGTTTCTGATAAAATTTGCCCAGGCACATGAGACCTTTCGAGTTCCCGAGATCGAAGCCCTGGCTCTGGTTGAAGGCCTGGAAATGAAAATAGTCGACTATAGTCAAGATGTCCGTTATCCCACTGAACACATGACTTCCCAGAGACTTACTGTGAATAGTCCCCCTTTTGTATCGTTCAACTGAATTCAGTAGAATCTGCTCAACGTCTGGCCAAGAGATCCATTCTCATTCAATCCATCCATGAGCTCTGGGGTAAAGGAAGTACCCTGGACGAGCTACATGAATCAGTCAAGACAAATACATCGCACATCTGGGATAGCTACCTGGGAAAGTCTTTTAAGTTTGATGTCGATCCTTACCAAGGAACTCGTTCTGCTAAGAAGCGAATCGAACTCATCAACTCGTTTCGATTCCTGGGCTGGACCGGGCCTGTCAAGATGACCAACCCCGATAACTTGTTTACAATCTTCGAAATGTGGCCGTATGACAGCGTGCCCCTGAATCTTCCTGACCCTACGATGATGTATCTTGCTCGCCATGTCGGAAACTCCTCACGCGATATTCTGGTTCGTTTCGACTTGAAGAAGAGAGGATATATCTCTACGACAAGTATGGATTCTGAGCTTGCACTAGTTACGGCAAACATCGCCCTTGCTGCTCCCGGCAAGCTGTTCTACGACCCATTCGTCGGGACTGGGTCCTTTCCCATTGCATGTGCTCACTTTGGTGCTCTCGCTTTTGGAAGCGATATCGATGGTCGTAGCATGCGTGGCGAGGGCGGAAAGAAGAGTCTTAAGGGGAACTTTGACCAATATGGCATTGGATCTTGCTTGGGAGATGTATTTTCTGCAGACCTGACCAACACACCTATTAGGAGACACCGCAGGACATGGGACGGAATTGTTTGTGATCCGCCCTATGGTGTTCGAGAAGGATTGAGGGTGCTTGGCCTTCGCGATCCTGAGAAGACGCCTTGGCTGATAGAACAAGGGAAGCAACACGGAATGTTCGTAATACCCCAGTCGATTCTGCTAACCCTCATGCTGACCATATCAGGAAACCAACCTACGTACCACCCAAAAAGCCATATAGCTTCATGGTGATGCTCGATGATATTCTTAACTTTGCAGCCAACACTCTTGTCGACGATGGACGGTTATCGTTCTGGATGCCAACCGCCAACGATGAAGACCAGGAGATCCCTGTCCCTACACATCCTTACATGGAAGTGGTAGTGGTTTGTACCCAACCCTTCAACAAGTGTAAGTCGTTTCTGTAGTATTGTTTGCGCATCTTGCCCATACTGACACTTGCTAGGGTCGAGGAGACTCATTACTTATCGTCGACTTCCTGACTCACAAGTGCCGCAATCGGCCCTCGAGACTTATGCAAACCGACAAAAGCTCACATTGGATGGGACATCGGCAGATGAACTCAACCCGTTTCGACGTGGATATTTCAAGAAGTTCGAGACAGAGGAATAGAATAGAAGAAACGAAAAGAAACCATCGCAAAAGTTCGCTCTACTCCCATCAGAAATTTCCTATGCTCCACATTCATATATGATAAACCACCCCAGAAAAGAAATACCAAAACATTGCTGACTCACAAGGCAACGCATGCATGTTCATCAAGCTGTCATAATAACCCATCCACGGTCCTTCCCGTGTTGCCATCTATGCGTTGTAACAGTACCAAACACGCCTTAACCGTCACACGAACGGTCATGATAGATAATCGTCAATATACACGTGACAGCGTCACGCTTCAAGTTTGTGCAGTATGTTGTAATTTGGAAGTCGTAGGCCTAACGGAATTCCGTTGCAGCAAAGCATCCTCGATCGGGTACATGCTTTAATTCCAGTTGTTGGAACCTTTGAGAAGTTAGTGACAAGTTCACCATGTGATGAGCGTTGAAGACCAACTTTTCGCTTTTAGAGTGAAAGTAGATACCGCTCACTTCACCCTTGACCTGGTTGAAGCAAATATAATAGAACCCTTCGAAGCTGGCGCCTGTTATCGTACGGACACGGTGGTCTGGCACCAGAAAGTGCTCTTTCCAGCGCATGAAGATAGTTTCTCGCTGAGCAGCATCGCGAATGGTGACGGGGCCCTTGCGAGCTTGCTTCTGGAAGGGACGAAAAGCAGTGAATTTGGCCCAGTGGCTCAGATCGACCTTGCTATTTGCGCCCCAGTTCTCGTGCTGGGTATAGAAGCTGTACTTGGATCCAATAATTTCTCCCTCAAAATACGTTGTGAGGGTAGGATGATCTTCGGTCAAACCTTCAACAGTAGTTAGTTTACCGTTAGTAAGTCTTAACGGATACCTGGTACCAACCTTGAATTCGAAGATAACCACAAAGGAAAGACTCGCGCATGTCGACATGTTTGATCTCGACTTGCACGTCGTAGACTTGCCGTTCTGACTGCTGTGTGCCATGGAACTTGCTACCCGGACGGAGGTAAGAAGATGGCGTTGAAGGTATAGTCTTTGTTTGTCAGAAGGTTGCATCATACTGGTTGGATACTCGAAAGTTGGCTCACCCGCATGCAGGAGTAGTCCGGACCCATGGATGGGGACCAGAGCTCATCTTCTTGCGCATCAAAATCAGTCCACTCTGAGTCTTGATTAGGGGATCTTCTCCGTCTGGATGATTCGCACAGAGCTGATTCGGATTCGGTAGCTTGTTGTGTATTATGGGAAGGCTCTCGGCTCAGCTGATTACCGATTTCGGCATCCCTTCCCTTGGTTTCGGATTCAGATCCATCGTGCATAGGGGTTGTTATGGTAGTGGTAGCGGTTTGCGGGCGTGGTGACATGGTAGTAGATCTTGAAGATGAGTCATTGGGTGGACGTCCATCGTACATGATGGTATCGTCGTTTGGACGCTCGGGTGCAGGCGGCGCGTCAACGGTGAGTGGCGAGCCGCCATCTACAGAGACATCGGGGCTGGGCTGGACACCGATGTTGTCGACACGAGCTTCTTCGTCGCCGCGCGATTGCCAAGCGGGACGTGGCTGATGTTGAACGTCGTCAGGACATGTCGAGAAACTATAGGAGCGCGGCGACGCAGCCTCAACAGGCGGATTCGATGATGGTGTTGGCATTGTATGTGACGTGTGAGAGGATACAATACAATTGAGCGGCGGGTATCTCGACGAAGTGCAGATAGTGAGTTAAGACGCGAACAAATTATAATCGAGGGTATCAAGTCGGCCGATAGACGTTGCAAGTTTGAAAGGACAGGCCTGACGTCGAGCGCTATTCGATGCCAGAGGAGAGAACCAAGTTAGTGTTAATCACCAAGCGAGTGGCGATCTCGGGGACTAGACTAGAGACTGGTTACAGCAGAAAGCCTTTTCAGAAAGTAGCATGCGGGCCCATGACAAGAGGACGGAGAAACAAGCAATATAATGATAATAGTACAATGGAAGCTCAGATCATGAGATAAAAAGGTTGGAGCAAACAATCTGGAAACAAGCGAGTAATGGCAGATCGTAAACGAATGGGTCGATGGCAAAGAAAGGGTCAGTCAATCAGTCAAGACCCGTCAAGTCGAGTCGGTCGGTGATGCTGGGCTGCCCTGCCGTGCCTGTCGCCTGTCTCTGTCTCTGTCTCTGGGGTTCTGTAGCGGATATGTGGGGGCCATGGGTCTAACTAGACCTCCACCCGGCAAGACGGAAAGTCTTCCAGGTCTTGGTCTAGCGAGGGATCTTAGAGCATACCACGCTACCTACCGGGCCTAGTTGGTGAAGTTGCTCATGCCGTGTAACATTGACTCGAGGAGCATTGAGGTGCGGCATCTTTTTTTTTTTGCGCCCAAATTTCTGCAGGATGGCTTAAAAGAAGTTTGCTAGTGACAACGGTGGAAGCACCCGGTAGGATCCAATGGAAGGGCGGACTCTCAAACGAAGGACCTCAAAGATCAGCACATGTTTGGCGTATCCCCTCAATTATGTTACAAGCAAGCAGGTATTTTCAGAAGATCCTCAAGTGTCCAGGTACCTTGGTACTCAGAAACAGCACCTATATCGTTAACATAAAAATATATCGATTGAGGTCTGCTCATATCAGTTTTCCTCTCATTCAGCTGAGATCCAATAGATGCTAAGATTCAAACACTGCGGTAGGACTAGGGTCCAGTTCCATCTCTGCGGGCCAGGCTGAACCTTAACAAGACTACCATCCAGTGGCAGTGGCTTGGCCTTCAACACCATCATGGAAGGGAGCGAAACTGTGATAAAAACAATTTGCCGACAACGATATTCTACAAGTATCAATCTTTCACTTCATAAGTCGTGGCTAGTCTTGGGTAACTATGAGTATCAAATCCGAATCAGCGTCGCTGCCAAAATCAGATGCTTTCTGTTTTCTCCCTCCTTCTTGTTACATCAGATTGGGCTGGGCTGCTTTGGTTCCGCGCCGTGCCCCAGATACAAAAGCGGCATCGGGCAGCCCCAGCATCCCCCACCGTGTTCCCGCCTGCATTTGTTATGGGGTGATGGGCCCTCATTAGGAAGAGGAAGACATCCATGATGCATTATACGCTCCGAGGATATGATGGAAATCAGACAATTTCCATCGCACTGCCCGGTAAAACGCTTTCCACATGACGGCTCTACCCGGCCGGCTCGATGATCCCGACTACGTGGCTGCCAGGAAAGTGATTTCGGAGTTTTGAACTTGTCTACGCAATTGTGTATTACGGCTAGGCGTGCAGCACAGAACTACTCGATGCAATTGGGAGCCATACAATCACTTTTTACCATATCATTGTCCAGCCTCTCAAAGTCTTTGAAACGACTTTTCGACAATGATGCACGACTTCATAATTCCACACATTAAAGAAGGGAGGGTTGGTAACGCTCAAATGATTAGTCTCGTGGATTGTTCGTTGTTGCAATGGGGCTTGCTTCTTTTCAGGTATGCTTTCTTATTTCGTAATGCGTAGCGTGAACGTCTCTTCTTCACGATAATCTCCCACGTTTTTGATATCTGGGTATCGTCCATCATCCATGACTGCCATGCGCCAATTTCAATTGTTGCCAATCAGCACTGCTGCAATATGTTTGACTATCTCGAGTAGGTGATGCTGCAGTTCATTCTTCGTTGTGTGACTTGTTCTTCAGATGGGCTTGATCTTAAAGTGCAGAGCAATCAAGCTGAAAACTAGCGCCTTTAGATCTTGAACGAGATAGTAAAACACTCGCAGGCCTTCAGGGTCGGCGGATTCTGTGACATCCACTAGGGATCCAATCTTTGCTGTCTGCTTGCTGTCAATGCTGTCCTCCAAGCGACTGGTTCCTTAAACTAACCTCGAATGCGATGTGATCGTTTCCAATTCGGATTTCCAATTCCTGGCGTCCGTCTTTGTTTTTCTGTGGCCATTTTGAATCATCTTCTCTGTTTATTGTCAGAATCACGTCAGGGGTGGCTGCGGCGCAAAGGGTTCAGCGTACTTCGTGATTTCGCTTGTCTTGATGATGCGCTTGATTTCGTCGACTACAACGGAGCTGACACACACTAGAATCTGGTCAGGTAAACTGTGCTGGACTGACATCAAGCGTGATACTGACTCTCTTTTCGGATCAAGCTATCGTTTCGGTAATTGGAGTTGTTGGCATATCGGGCAACCGCGCTGCGACCATCGCCGACAACCCGGAAGTCGAATTCTGATCGCGATCCTGTTAGAAGAAAGTTCCTGAGAAGTTCAAGGGGTTGTAGCCATTCGTACCTAGAAACTCGTGACCGAAACGGCCCATATGGCCAGAGCTGTTTGCAGAGACGTCATTAGTATTGATTGTAAAAGCCTTTAAGGCAGCACTGGCCGAGGTACTGGACTTACTAGTAGCGTAGGTAGAAAGGCTCGTTTGACGATGACATGGCTGCGTATGTAGGATATGTGATTGAAAGTATTGGGGTTTCGGGTCAAGAAATAATAAATCAAACCCTCAGGATCGCAAGGCTGAGAAAGAATCGCGGGACAGACCTGTTGTGTACATATGCACGGACCATCTTTTGGCGGGGCAGATGGACGGACAGCTCTACCTGCCACCTACACCACCCTGATATTAGTGGATGGAGTGCCTTCACCGTCAGTACTAAATCAACAGACAGTGGAGGTGGTATGTACATGGATGGCCTTCACTGCGCCTATGTGCCATCGAAGCTCAACCTGGGCTATTATCGTCTTCCATATATTTACGTCCTCAAAAGATGGAACCAAGTTTTCCATGACATGTAGGGAATACCTATCACTTAATTAGTATTCTTTATACCAACCAACTCTTCATTTTCAGCCAAATGTCGACCAATTGGCACAAACTTGAACATTAGGAGGTTGGATATTGTACTTTGAAGGTTACGAATCGCAGTACATGACCCCCTTGTCAAATCACGTGATACCATCCCTCCCATCAAGCCGCTTAGTGCCACCTGTTCGACATCGCTGGCAGGACAGATCTTCTTGAAGTTGAAGCTGTCCAGAGTTGGTCAATTTTACTTCTAGAAAACGACTTACAGCGATTGCGCGCTGGAATTACTCAACGAATGGCCCAGGCGCATTTTGCTATTTGTCCCGACAATTGAACCTTTCAAGCAGCTTGAACCCCTGAGCTGAGCCTCCCCACCGCCGAAGTCAATACCACCTATACCGGTACCTCCAATCCACCTCCAACGTTCTCCTTAAGAGCCACGTCCCATCCACAACAAACACATTCACCAACTTTCTCGGCCAGCCGCTGGCGACACCCTTCAAGATGTCTGGCTTTCTTGAGAATGCGTACAGTCTCGTTCATCAGGACAATGCGGCCGATGTCCCCACCGTTTCCGATCTGCGCATGCAGTTGGAGAAGGGCACCGATGAGAGCAAGGTCGAGACTATGAAGCGCATCTTGACCATCATGCTCAACGGTGACCCCATGCCCAGCTTGCTAATGCACATCATTCGCTTCGTTATGCCTTCCAAGTACAAGCCTCTCAAGAAGCTTCTCTATTTCTACTATGAAATCTGCCCCAAGCTTGACAGCAGCGGCAAGCTCAAGCAAGAAATGATTCTGGTTTGGTACGACTGCAGTTCCCCATGCCTCTATGTCAAACGTCGACATAGGTCGCCGCCGTGCAAGGCTAACTGTAGTCACGTAGTAACGGTATCCGAAACGATCTTCAACACCCCAACGAATACATTCGAGGAAACACCCTTCGCTTCCTTTGCAAGCTGAGGGAAGCTGAGCTCATCGAGCCTCTTCTTTCTTCAGCCCGATCTTGTCTCGAACACCGACATGCCTACGTCCGAAAGAACGCCGTTTTCGCCATCTCCTCCATTTACACACACTCACCTTCCCTGATCCCTGATGCCTCAGAACTTATTTCGACATTCCTTGAGGGAGAGAGCGATGGAGTCTGCCGAAGAAATGGTTTCGCCGCTCTCGCTAGCATCGACCACGATGCTGCCCTGGTCTACCTTAGTTCTGTGTTCGAAGGCATCCCTAACGCAGAAGAGTTGCTTCAGCTTGTCGAGCTCGAATTCATCCGAAAGGATGCTGTCCAAAACTCTCAGAACAAGGTTTGTTGGCTGTTTGCCTACAGGAAAGATTAGGCGGCCCACTGACTGTTACAATAGGCTAGGTACTTGAGATTGATATTCGACTTGCTGGAAGCCGGCGCCTCGACCGTCGTATACGAAGCCGCCTCCTCCCTGACTGCCCTTACAAACAACCCGGTCGCTGTGAAGGCCGCTGCCGCCAAGTTCATCGAGTTGAGCATCAAGGAGGCAGACAACAACGTTAAGCTTATCGTTCTCGATCGAGTTGACCAATTGCGCAAGAAGAATGAAGGTGTCCTTGACGATCTGACCATGGAGATCCTCCGAGTTCTGTCCAGTACCGATATCGATGTTCGAAGAAAGGCACTCGGACTCGCTCTTGAGATGGTGTCTAGCAAGAATGTTGAAGAGGTCGTGCTTCTGCTCAAGAAGGAGCTCTCCAAGACCGTCGATCAAGAATACGAGAAGAACACCGAATACCGATCCCTCCTCATCCACTCAATTCATCAATGCGCCATCAAGTTCTCCGAGGTTGCCGCAAGTGTTGTAGAACTTCTCATGGACTTCATCGCCGACTTCAACAATGTTTCAGCCGTCGATGTGATCAACTTCGTCAAGGAGGTTGTAGAGAAATTCCCTAACCTGCGAACTACTATCATTGAGCGACTTGTCTCTACCCTGGGTGAGGTCCGAGCCGGCAAGGTTTACCGCGGCATCATGTGGATCATTGGTGAATACTCCCTTGAAGAGAAGGATATCCGAGAGGCCTGGAAGAGGATACGTGCCAGCTTAGGAGAGATGCCAATTCTTGCCTCCGAGCAACGACTACTCGATTCTCACGACGGCGAAGAGAAGACTGAGGACCACATCAACGGAACATCAAAGCCAGCTGCGCCATCTGGTTCGCGCAAGGTTCTTGCCGATGGTACTTATGCCACTGAGACTGCCCTGACCAGCCAGTCCTCAGCTGCTGCCAGGTTGGAGGCTGTTAAAACTGCTCAGAAGCCCCCTCTGCGCCAACTTATCCTCGATGGAGACTACTATCTGGCGACTGTCCTGTCATCAACCCTCGTCAAGCTTGTCATGCGACACCATGAGATTTCTTCCGACAAGGCTCGCACCAACGCCCTCCGAGCCGAGGCCATGCTCATCATGATTTCAATCATCCGTGTGGGTCAGTCTCAATTCGTTAAGGCTCCTATTGATGAAGACTCCGTGGACCGAATTATGTCTTGTGTGCGCTCCCTGGCCGAGTTCGAGGAGAAGAAGGAACTCGAAACTGTTTGGTTGGATGACACTCGCAAGGCTTTCCGTGCTATGGTACAGGTCGAGGAGAAGAAGCGCGCTGCCAAGGAAGCTTTCGAGAAGGCCAAGACAGCCGTGCAAGTTGACGATGTTGTCCCCATTCGACAGCTCGCCAAGAAGAACACTACTGACGGTCTTGACGAGATCGAAGTGGACTTGGAGAGGGCAACTGGTGGTGAGGGCACTGCTGAGGATCTTTCTTCCAAGCTCAGCCGGGTAGTCCAGTTGACCGGTTTCTCCGACCCCGTCTATGCTGAGGCATATGTCAAGGTCCACCAGTTTGACATTGTTCTTGATGTTCTCCTGGTTAACCAAACTACCGAGACTCTTCAGAACCTTTCAGTTGAGTTTGCTACTCTTGGTGACTTGAAGGTTGTAGAGCGACCTACTACACAGAACCTGGGCCCCCATGACTTCCACAACGTGCAATGCACGATCAAGGTCTCCTCGACGGATACTGGTGTCATCTTTGGTAACGTTGTGTACGATGGTGCCCACTCTACTGACACCAACGTTGTCATCCTTAACGACCTGCATGTCGACATTATGGACTACATTCAGCCCGCTACATGCACTGAGACTCAGTTCCGTACCATGTGGACTGAGTTCGAGTGGGAGAACAAGGTCAACATCAACTCCAAGGCCAAGACGCTTCGCGATTTCCTTGACCAGCTCATGGCCTGCACAAATATGAACTGTCTGACACCAGAGGCTAGTCTCAAGGGCGACTGTCAGTTCCTGAGTGCTAACTTGTACGCAAGAAGCGTATTCGGTAAGTTCATTTACTCTCTCATGCACTGGACTCTGCTAACAAATGACCTAGGTGAGGATGCTCTCGCTAACCTGAGCATTGAGAAGGAGGGTGAGGACGGACCCATTACTGGTTTCGTAAGAATAAGGAGTCGATCACAAGGCCTGGCCCTGAGCCTAGGCTCGCTGAAGGGTCTCAATAAGATCGGCTCAACGGCTTAGACCAACTGATGACACGTAAAAGTACCTGGATCGGATCATACGAGAACGGGCTACTTAAGCATTCCAAGATTCATGACGATGGTTGGAGCGGAGTCAGGGGCGGAGCATGTTAATGGGTGTTTTCCCACCAAAAGGCTTTGCGATGGGTCCCTGGTAGAGTTCATTGTAAGCAGGTTTAGGTAGATGTTGATTACAAAGGCACATGGTTTCAAAAAGGAAAGAATCACTGTTCAAGATACAAGTTGTCACAAAGTTGGTGAGGTTGGTCGCCGTTTTGAGGAGATAATGAGTGGTATTAAAACGGACACTGTCATGTCTGCCAGGTGACACATTGGGTTCGTCAATGATGTTCATACATGCTTAGTGGGATGACGACTATCTTGTCCAAAGTCGGTCTCGACACATGAGATATGAGTAATATAGGGTGTAAACAAATCATCGCTAGACCATCATCCTCCAACTCCAATAGAAACAGATGCAGTAGACCGGGTAAATAAGATGGGGTATTGTCCAATGTTGGTTGATGGTGACAAAACAATTAAAGCAGCATGACAATTAAGATGTATGTAGGCGTGCGTGTGAGGGTGACTGTAATGTCAGATCAGTCGCGAAGTGTCCACGACGGGTGCCAAGCTTGCGAATCGACTTCTCCAAGTTGGACACTGGAGAACGGTTGAGTGCGATTAAGCTTCGAAAACAAGGGCATTGACAACATGTCCCATCGTCCAATTCTGCGCCGATAGGGATAAATTATCCTTGAGGATCTTGCCCATATAAGCGATTCTGATCTTCTTTGTAGAAGCAAGCTGAGAGTCATATTAGCATTCGACTCTTTCCTCGCTCAGTCTGTTCAAAAGAAGAATTGATCAGGGTAAAGGTACTCACACCAGCCTCAAGGGCAATCTTTTTTGCTACACTCCGGACTGTTTCCGACTCTGAGATATTGACATTAACGTCCTGGCCATTTTCACTAAGTCTAGCCCGTAACTTGACCAGCTCTTTCGGCTCGTCCACTTCTTTTCCCTTCTCTTGCTTTTTGCCATCAATCTCGTCGTCACTCAATTCTTCATCGGCTGCTGTATCGTCACCCGCGGTGGAAATGTCGCCTTTCGCCCCGGGTACCTGATCTTCTTGGACATTCTGCGGGTCAGAAACAGCCCATTCCGGCAATTGATAATAATTTCCAAGAGAATCGTAGACGCCGTTGGAGAGGTTGCCGGTGGGTAGAGAAATCTCGGCTGCGGAGAGGATCATTTGAGCTGTCGCAAGACCGTTGGATCCATCATCCTGGGCGTCTTGGCTCGCGGGATCCCATAGAACTTGCAAGGCTGCATGAATAGTTTGCCATATCTCGGGTCTGCCGGTGACCCGGGTATCAAAGAAGGCGGCTCGTTCTTTTGCCAGTTCGCTCTTGGTCCAGGTGCGGTCGCGGGAAGTCCATTCGTGTCGTCGCAAGGGTTTGTCAATGTGCTGATCCAAGGGACGGTCATTGCGACGACGCTGGCGACGTCTTTCAGCAGGGATTTGTGGTTGAGCGGCCTCGGGGAGTGACAGTGGGGGAGGATTAATGGCACGCGATGAAGCGTTGGGTGCGCCACCTGGGTAGGGTGAATTGGGCCCCGAGGAACGAGAAAGACAGCAACCCTAGCAGCATATGTTAGATAGAGATGGTGAGCTGAGCTGAAAAAGTGCTGTACCATTTTGGCTACAGTACTGTACTGCAGTCTACAGTTTAGTGCAGTCTACAAGGGCGGCGGCGATCGACGTTGAACTTGTGGGTTGAAGGTTGAGCAAAGGAATGGTGATCCCAACTTTAGCGACTAGCCATCGTTGACAGGCTTGGCCAGAGTCACAGCTGATGAGAGGGGGATCGAAATGAAATGCTGGTTGATAAAGGGAACAAAAGAGGAGGTCTATAGCAAAAGAAGGGCGCGGCGCACGCAGGCAAGAGGCGCAGAGCAATAGAAAAGAAGAAGAGATGGAGTAGTAAGTAAAGACGGGAGCCGAGTTTCGGTTTGGTAGGTGCCGTCTGGTCTGGTCTGGTCCCGTCTCGTCTCGTCTTCTGGAGACGCCGAACCTAATAAGCTATCGATTCTTCTTGGGGGCAGGGGAATGCGGCGCAAAAGCGGGACTCGGTTACTTAGGTGCTTTTAGTTAGCCTAAAATAAGGAACAAGATCAAAGAAGGGTCCTAAATTAAGTTAATTATAGCTAGAGCTTTAATGGGTTTAGCAGAAGTTGAGCGTTGACTTGACTTACATAGAGCGATAAGGATAAATGATAGGAACAGTTGAATAAATCACAAATCAGTCAATTGATTGCTCAAAAGATAGATGTTAACTCATCGACTGATCATATGACTTGGTAATGAGAATAATCATACCAATATTGAGTTTAAGAAGGTTGGCAGTGACAACGACAGTCAAGTACGGAGGAAACGCGGCCTTTCATGTGTGATGATGCAGACACTGAGTTTATGTAGGATTGTTGATGTAATGACAACTTCACTTTTTGTTATGCTGTTGGCCAAGAAAGTTAAAAATGACCAAGGTACAGGGACTGCCATCACTTCCTAGAGATACTGGGGGTATCATTCATCAATTGAATGTTGGTTGTTGCTGGTGGGGTATTACAAGGACAAGCCTATGGATAGACAGGGATCCATTACGATTCTACAGAGAATCTAACCTTGACTCTCTAGATGAGCCTGAAGGTGAACTCTTGCAACATGGGCATTATAGGGCTGAAGAGTCCATTGACCACTATTAAAGATATCATTCATCTCAATCACTAGATTCTTCAACATCTCAAACCCTTATTACAGGGGGTTATACATAGGTAGGAACTCATTTGACATTAGTATCTGACAGTGAATGGATGGCTTACCCGGGAGTGCAGAAGAGATACTTGTGCTTTGCATTACACAAAGCAGACAACATGCTTGATCACTTTGAGAGAAGCAATCTTCACTCAAAGACAAAATAACTGAATTTGTAATGTTCCACGGCAGTAGAAAGCAGATAAATACAGGCTCTCACCTTGAACATGGAAGTACTCATCGAAGGCAGCTGTGACCAATCAGCAGCCTCACCAAACATTGCTGTCAGTGCTTCATCGTGGACTCAACATCCACTATCGATTGTTCCTTCCGATTTCCATACATCCCTCTTTTTGCTTTATGTTATGGTATCGCGTGGATAATTTTTATTCATTCACTCATTGCTTGAACCATTCCAGCTCACTTGGCCTACATCGCCGTGCAAAAAAGGAGTATTTTCTTTTCTGTCTTGTGGTGCATGAGCATTCGCCCCCATTCACTGTCATTCCAAAACCATGAACATTCACGGCCAACATGTCTAAAATGCAAAAGGCGACAGAACGCCATTTTTATTATCACGGGAAGGAGGTAACATACCAACTGTCTCTGTCATATGACCCACAAGCTGACACGAAATACAGGGCTACGAAGCAGAGCGCAATAATTGTCACTGGTGTCAAATACGCTCTTTACCAACTCATTCTACTCTGCCAGTCACGGTAGTCAACGAACAAGACTCCGAGGTTCTGCCAGATGACTTCCGCTTCATAAAAAATGTGGTGCTCGGTGAAGGGGTTGAACGAGCTGGGGATAGTTTCCGCAGTGGCTGCTCCTGTGCCCATGACGACGAGTGTCAGTTCACAAGCTGCCATTGTCTGGCCGATCTAGATGATGAGGAATCTAGCGATGAAGAAGGTGACCCCTTTGGAGACCGTATCGACGAAATGAACATAGACAAGCCTCGCAAGAAAGCCTACGCCTATCACGCACACGGAGCCAAAGCTGGTCTTCTGCGATCCAGATTCCATACCTCCAAGATGCCCATATATGAATGCCACCAGAGCTGTTCTTGCTCCATAAACTGCCCCAACCGTGTCGTCGAGCGTGGTCGAACGATCCCCTTGGAGATCTTCCGGACCGAAGACCGGGGATGGGGTAAGTCTATCTGCTATCGTCAACATGTCGCGTGTGGTTCACTAACTTCGTTCCTACAGGTGTGAGATCACCTGTGCCCATTAAAAAAGGACAGTTCGTCGACAGATATCTGGGCGAGATAATCACGTCGACAGAAGCAGACCGTCGACGCAGCGAATCAGCCATCTCGCAACGCAAGGACGTTTATCTATTCGCTCTCGATAAATTTACCGACCCGGACTCACTCGACACCAGACTCAAGGGTCCATCACTTGAAGTTGATGGCGAGTTCATGTCTGGACCAACGCGCTTTGTCAACCACTCTTGCGAACCCAACATGCGCATCTTTGCGCGTGTTGGTGACCATGCTGATAAACATATTCATGATCTTGCCCTGTTTGCAATCAAGGAAATTCCGAGGGGTGAAGAGCTCACCTTTGACTACGTCGATGGGGTTTCGTACGAGAGCGAGGAACCAGGGGAAAAATCACACATGACCCCTTGTTTATGTGGAAGTAAGAAATGCAGGAAGTTCCTATGGTAAAAAGAATCCACGAGGGTCATGTCAAAGAGTAGTGTTTTTGTTTTGCCGAAGATATCCAACAAACATGAGTTTCAAATTCACTAGCTAACATGCTCAAAGAAGTCGCTTTGTTACCACCTTGAGCCATATTTACAGAAAATACACATCAAATTTACTACTACTGTCAAAGTACTATCCGTTCCTTTGATACTGACTTGTTCGCAGGCCTTGAATGCTTTGCGAAAAAGTCTAGCTGTTTCCCACAGTGTTCTTTGTTCGCAGTCAACGGCACACTTTATGCTAGAACAATGCCACTGCGGCCCTTCTGCCTTGTTTTAAGCCACCTACTGAACATGAGTGTATTCCTATCTTGCACATGAACACTGCAAGAGCTTGCACCTCTATAAATAATACCATGCCTCTCGAGAGGATAGTGGTTTTCTCATCACCATCAACGATACATTCTTTGTCTACTTTCTTTTTCCTACAATCTAAATCATGGATAAGGGCGACGAAACTTCTCTCCCAGATCATTCTGAGTCTTCTCTCCCGTCAAGAGATCGCTCTGATGCTGTTTCTTCATCTGGAACAGCCGCTTCGTCGAATGGCGGTAGTCTGGACACTAGTCATTCCGACCAAAAGAACAAGAAAGATACCAAGAAGAATGCCTTGAGGAATACAGCTTCCACTTCAATTTACGATGACGGGTTTACCCCCCAAAGCTATCGCACACTGCGTCGCTCTCGACTCACCCGCAGAGCCAGCATCCACCGCCAAATTTCCCAGGGGAGAGCAAACCCGGCCGAAGTCTGGTGTAACGACAAAAACTGTGAGGAGGAATTGCGAGTCTTTTCTAACCCCTATTTGTATCTTGTCGACAATGAGGAAAGCAGTGAGGAATTGCCTGCCGCAGTTTACTTCCAAGACTTTGCTGATGCAATGGTCGACAAACTCTTCGATATCCAGGACGTTGCAGCCAGGAAACACAAATCCAGAGATCTCTTGTCTTTCGTAGACTCTCCACCTGTGCGAGCTGCGGTTTGGAAATTCATGGGAAACTACGAAAGCCGAGAATATAAACTCTCCGACAAGGACTTTGGGAAAGCTCTTGTAAAAGCTCGACCAGTTTTCCTCAACCTCATGTTTGGCGTCAAGACGCCGGAAAACGTACGGCTAGTCCACACCTACATCAGTCCCGACGAAGACATCCACGAAACCTGGGATCTTCAGCAATTTATTCTGCGCTTTCTCGTGTGCTGCGAGGTCTGGCGCCAGCAAAAGACGCCTCGCTCAGAGAACTGGAAGATTGGTTCCCGCGAAGGAGTGGGACAATTCATGGCAGCAATGCTATTCAATTACAAGTTGATGTGGGATCAGGAGTGTTTCGATTACGACATGCTGCACACGACCCATGTTTGGGATCGGGTATGGGAGATGTGGCTTCGCAAGTATCCCCTGGAGAGCGCAGACGAAGTTGTGGATGGCGAAGTCTTTCAGATGCGGGTTCATCTAGACAAGACAGAGCAGGAGGTTCTCGATGAGGTAGGATATCTAGGAGGAATAGGGCAAAATGATGAGACTTACAACCCTGTTCAGTGGTATCTAGGGAATGGAGAGCGTTTGGTCATGAGCACCTTATAGTCAGTCGCTACTAGAGAGATTGCATTGGAACTACAAAGCAGATGATATCCAGGCGTTCTTTTTTGCTAAAATTGATACTTTTTCGTGGATTTCTTAGAAAGTAGTGGCAAATATAAAGCTAGCTTTCTCAACTTCTATACACACAACTTCTTGAACATATCGTAACGTATATGTCGTGTCTTAGTAGGACACCATAGACGCCCGTGAAGATAAACTATAGCTTGTAAGAAACATCAAAGTCTCAGTAAAGAAATTTAACGTGGCTGTTAGAAAGCATAACAAATAAACACTAGGACATCTTTGAAGCCATATAGATCGACCTAGACAAAGACAAGTGCACGGCTATCAGAACTCATTCAAGGATCTTGGAAGCTAGTGTAAGAAGCTATAATTAGAGAAAGACAAAAAAAAAGAAAGGGTTGCTGCATAGGTACTTTCTTTCTTATGGTAGGTAGCACATAATGAAGGAAGAGGAATAGATGGTATTTACAAAAATGCAAAAACATACAACAGCGG